CACTCACCTGCACACACTCACGCCCGCGCACACTCACACCTGCACTCACCTGCACACACTCACACCCGCGCACACTCACACATGCACACACTCACCCGCACACACTCACGCCCGTGCACGCTCACCTGCACACTCACCTGCACACACTCATACCCACGCACACTCACACCTGCATTCACCTGCACACACTCACACCCGCGCACACTCACACATGCACACACTCACTCCTGCGCACACTCACACCCGCACACTCACCTGCACACACTCACACCCACGCACACTCACACATGCACGCACTCACCCGCACACACTCACCCGCACACACTCACGCCCGTGCACACTCACCTGCGCACACTCACGCCCATGCACACTCACACCTGCACACTCACCTGCACACATTCACACCCGTGCACTCACACATGCACACACTCACCTGCACACACTCACACCTGTGCACAGTCACACCTGCACTCACCTGCACACACTCACACCGGTGCACACTCACACATGCACACACTCACCCGCATACACTCACGCCCGTGCACACTCACCCGCACACACTCACACCTACACGCTCACCTGCACTCACACCTACACACACACTCACCCGCACACACTCACACCTGCACACACTCACACCTGCACTCACCTGCACAGACACTCACACATGCACGCACTCACCCGCACACACTCACTCCCGTGCACACTCACACCTGCACACACTCACTCCTGCGCACACTCACACCCGCACACTCACCTGCACACACACCCACGCACACTCACACATGCACACACTCACCCGCACACACTCACGCCCGTGCACACTCACCTGCACACACTCACGCCCACGCGCACTCACACCTGCACACTCACCTGCACACATTCACACCCGCGCACTCACACATGCACACACTCACCTGCACACACTCACACCTGTGCACACTCACACCTGCACTCACCTGCACACTCACACCTGCACTCACCTGCACACACTCACACCGGTGCACACTCACACATGCACACACTCACCCGCACACACTCACGCCCGTGCACACTCACCCGCACACACTCACACCTGCACGCTCACCTGCACTCACACCTACACACACACTCACCCGCACACACTCACACCTGCACGCTCACCTGCACACACTCACACCTGCATGCTCACCTGCACTCACACCTGCACACACACTCACCTGCACACACTCACTCCTGCACACTCACCCGCACACACCCACACCCGCACACACCCACACCTGCACACACTCGCATACACACATTCACCTGTACATACACTCACCTGCACACACTCACATGTGCACATTCGCCTGCACGCACTCACACTTGCACACACTTGTGCACTCATCTGCACATACCCACACCTGCACGCACATGCCTGCGCACACTCACTCACATGTGCACATACTCACCTGCACACACCTGTGTGCACACTCACACCTGCGTGCACACTCACGGCGCACGCACACACCTACATGCACACTCACACCTGCATACACACGACTGTACACATTCATATGTGCACACGCAAACATTCATACCTGTAAACACATACTCATACCTGCACACACCCCACACACACACCTGCACACACAACCCTGCCCTGGGAGAAGGCAGAGACAGAGCCCGCCCTCCGGTCCTTACTGAGGCCTCAGCTCCGCGGTGGTGGCGTAGGGCTCAATGACACTGTCCTTGTCAATGCAGGTCATGTCACTCTCCGACAGGGACCTCTGCCGAGGCTGGGGAATGGCGACGGTGCGGCCCGTCAGCGTGGTTGCCAGAATGACTGCAGCCAGAGCCGATCTGGGGAGAAAAACCAGAGAGATGATGAGACTCAGTCTTCCACGGGGAGCCTGAGCCACGGGGCACACCCGCCTTGAGGGTCGCCCCATGTGGCACAGCGCTGCGCATCACCTGCCCAGTGTGTCAGCACCCGCCCCACCATGAGCCCACACGCCACCTCATTTCAGCCTCACATCAACTGTACAAACAGACACTCCTGTCGGTTCTATTTTTCATAGAAGTTAAACAACAGGCCAAGCTGTTGGCACAGGAGCGAAAGTCTCAGAGCTAGCAAGCAATCACCAGCCACTGGGTCCCAAATTCCATCCCCATCTGGGGAGCGGACCACAGGGCACAGCAGACCTCTCCTGTCGGCCCGCTGCTCCCCTCTGCAGTGCACTTCGTCAATCTGCCTGTTCCGCTCCCCACTCTGTCTCTGGTGAAGCCTCTCACCCACCACACCTCTTGCTTGTACCCCAGTTCTGTAAGCATAAATAAATAAATCTTAAAAAATAAAAAAGGAGGGCCCTTCCTGGTGGCGCAGCGGGTTAAAGCACAGCACTAAGCAGCTAAAGCCACCTCCGCATGAGTTCGATCCCCGCCTGCCCCAGAGGTGACCACATGGCGCGGCAGACCTCTCCTGACCCGCCCGCTGCTCCCCTCAGCAGTGTACTTGGTCGATCTGCCTGTTCTGCTCCCCACTCTGCCTCTGGTGAAGCCTCTCACTGCCCCTGAGCCTCTGGCCTGTACCCCAGTTCTGTATGCACAAATAAATAAAAAATTTAAAAAAAATAAATAAATAAATAAAAATAAAAAAGGAGATGCTGGGCACCATTCGAACTCCTTTTAACTTTCCGCCATCTGAATCAGTGGACTTGAATACTTTCTTTCTGGAGAAACACTAACTGCACTCAAGGGTTTTGAAAAGCAAAGGCACCAGACACCTCAGCCTACCCGGCTGCTCTATGATAAACGCCTCCAGAACACAAGTTTAGCCATCTAATCTGTGACCTTCTCGTGGGTTGAAACGGCTCTGGGACCCAGTCCTAAGCGGGGCACAGTGGTGCCCTCAGGGCCTGCTCACCTGACACTCACCTTGGTCTCTCTGGAGAGGGGTTCGGGCTGCGGGGAGGCGGCGTGCGGGGCACAGCTGGCTTCGGGGCGATGCTGGCTGCAGGAAGAAGGCCATGGACGATGTGTCTCTGCACAAGAGAATGAAACCCAGAGTCAGTGGCGTCGGGGCCAGCCCAGGCGCTGCCCCCGGCCCCGGCCAGGTAGAGGATGTCTGCACTGGTCACTCAGGGACCCCGCCCTACAAGAGGCCCGCTCATCCCCTTCCAGTCAGGTGCGCAGGCCCATCTGGTCCATTCCAACTGCCCATCCCATCCTTCCCACTGGCCTTCCTGACCCCCGAGTCATGATGCAGCACCTCTGCTTGGTGAGCGTGAGAGCAACCTCTTGTCTTTATCAACCTCAACTCCAGCACCTTGCCTGACACCTGGGAGGGTCTGAATGGCTGACAGGTAGTTTAGCTCACGGAGGGAGAACATCAAGGGCGAGTTGACAAAGACCCTCCACACCATAGAAGCCAGACAAGTCCGCTTTCGGCGACTGGGGGTCTCGGACATGTCTGAACACAGCCCGGCCTTCACTTCTGTGTGCCTGGCCCATTCACATCCTCTGGCGAAACAGCAGGGTTGGGCGAATGGCACGGTTTGTGGGTTCTCACCCCGGCCCTCACAACGGCAAGACAGGGCTCAATCTCAGGGCACAACCACTGGGCTTAATTACAAAGGGCCAGCTGGGCGACCCCAGAGTGTGCCCAGTGTCCAGTCGTCCAAACCACAAGCTGCTAGGGCAAGATGGCCTCTTCCCTCACTGGTAGCTGGTGGACCGGGGACCCCACTAATCCACGACAGGTAGTCACAGGTGGCCTGCTGAGGTGGGAGCAATGCAAAGCTGGGCTGGACAGTGCCAGATGCCAGACGCGACAGCTCCCAGGTGGCACCAGTGTTTACGACGCCTGAGTGATGCCAGCATAGGCCAGCGGCACTCCCAGCGGATGCAGCTGAAGCAAAAGTCTCAAGGGTTCAAGTCGAAGGTCTCCTCAGGAGAGCAGAGTCAGGGCCCCTGACGCCTCTCCCAGGCTGAGTTGGGTCTCCTTGCCTCTCTGAGGCCTCTGTTTACATCCCCCCTCAGGGCCCCAGCTGGTGGGGCCTTTTCCAAACCAGGCATCTCCGAGACTTGATCGGTGCAGGTGCAGCTCAGGATTCAAGTCCAAACCCCTGCTCGTGTCTCCCGTCTGCCCCACGTGTTATGCACGGCGCTGGGGGTGAGCTCCGAGCGTGCTCAAACCGGACCTGCGGATCTCCAAACCGGCCATGGATTATTCTCTTATTTGTTCTAAAACCCAAAGCTGGCTGCACCGGGATCAGCCAGCAAGCCCTGTTGTCGTGGTGCAGCCCAAGCTGCTGGGGCTGCTGGGCCGGGCCCAGGCGCCTTCAGAGAACCAGGAGCCCTGAGGGCTGCTCTCACACCGCAGCAGGACACCCTGAGGAGAAGATGAAATCTTAGATGGGGTCTTCAGAGACAGACATCAGGGTGGCGCAGGGGGTTAAAGCACAGCACTAGCCCCTGCAGCAGGAGTTCGATCCCCAGCCATGGGGTAACCCACATAGTGCGGCAATCTCTCCTGTCTCCCCACTGCTCCCTCAGCAGTGTGGTTCAGTAGATCCACCTGTTCTGCTCCCCACTCTGTCTCTGATGAAGCCTCTCAGCCCCTGACCTCTGGCTGTACCTCAGTTCTATGTGCATAAATAAATAAAACTTAAAAAAAAAAAAGACGCCACCTTTGGGAAATGTGATGAGGCAAGACATCAGCTGCAGCGTTCTGGAAGTACCAAGTAGTTTTTTTGCTGGACTACAGAGGCAGCTGGGAGGGAGAGGCTGGAGCAGTGGTGGGGAGAGTAAGGGTTACTTCCAGTCCAGGGACAAGCCGCGTGCTAGTGAGGAATATCTGTTACAGAATAGAACTTCCAAATCAAACACCTGACGTGGCCCATCCCCTCGTGGGCAAAAGTCCACCCAAAAGGGATTGGCCCAGAGCAAGGCCTGAAAGCCGCCACTAGACTAAAGCACCTTCTGGCCGGGACCCAGGAAAAGGGTCAGACATGGCCAGACGAGTCTGGGAGGAAAAGAGCAACATTAAAATCCATATAAACACGGCCATAGTCACCTCCCCACGGGTCTCTCACCCACGTCTGCCCCAACCAGTCCAGGGCCAGGAAACAAGCCTGGTTTCCTCATCACAGGCTCGCTGCTCCCTGTGGCTTCCTCAGGTCTCCTTCTGGCTCTCCATCCAGCTTCCTTCCTTTCTTCTCTTTCTTTTTTCTCCCCTGATTCCTTCTCTTCTCTCCTTTTTCTCTGCTCAGCTCCACCTCCTTCTGGGTGGAGCAGGGAACCTGGAACTTCCCCTTTTCCTGGGGACCCCCCTGTTACATACCCACTGAAGGGGGCCCCTGGAGAGCCTGACCAGGTAGAAATGGGAGGCGAGGCACATCAAGAGGAAGGGCCAAGATGCAGGCACCCTTCAGGGGCGAGGGCCAGGCCGACCTTGCAAATGTCTCGTGCACTTCATACCAATTCCGCCCAGATGGGCAACCCAAGAGTAGTCCTGCCTAGCCCTCGCTTCCCCGGGTACCCCAATGTGTGGCACCATCAACTACATTTCCCAAGCAATTTGACAGTTTCCGTGTCTGCCTCCTCCCCCACACTCCAGCATCCAGGAGATGCTAAAGACAAAAAAGGGGCTTCTCTCAGGCCATCCCCATGGGGCTCGCACCCAGCAGTCCTCCCAAAAGGCTTCACGCGTTTTGTTTGGGGTTTGCAAAGTGTGACCCACACGGGAAGCCAAATGCTCCTCACTTGGGCCCTTAAGATGGCTTCCTGACTGGCCATTTCCTATAGATTATATCAGCGCCCCCTGCCTCCATAAAACACCAGAGGAGCCTGTGCCCACTCAGGGGCAGCACTCAGGGGCCCACAAGCCTCAGGGGCTGCCCCATGCCCTTGGTGACAGCGACAGAAATGGTCTGGTTTGGCACAAAAGGCTGGTTCCCACCAATGGGCCCACACAGTTTTTGCCACCCCTTCCAGTCCCTATACATTCTCCATGGTTTGTACTCAGAATTGCCTTCCATTTGCCACGCAGCAAAGATTCATTCTTCTCCCCCCAGAATGAGCTTCCCTTATCCGCTCCCCACCCCAAGGCCCAGGTCAACTCTCCTGACTGACTCTGCATGCTTCCCTTCCCTGTACACGCCTGGACAGTAGCTCTGGCCTGACCCTTTCAGGCTGAATCACTTGTGGGTTTTTCTGTTCCCTAGACACGTGGTCATAAGCTGGCCGTCAGCTGTGGGAATCGGGCAGGAGCAGGACCTCAATAACATGTTCAATGACCACGCTGCCTGGGGCGAACTACTGCAAAGCACAACTACGCTTGGACACGTCTTCATTGCTGTTCACCTCCGCGGTTGTAAATGACTCCAGCAGAGGGCTGAGCACAGGAAGGCAAGCTGCAGACTTTCTCAAGGTAAAACAGAGTTCAGCAGGGTCTTTACCAAAGTACTTTCTCTGCACTTTGAGTGTTAAGTCTATGGAGAGCTGGGTGTAAGTCTGTTTGGTGTTTGCCAGTAATGAAAGGCAGGAGCCAGGAAGTGGAGGGTGTGTGTTGTGGGGGGGGGGGGGGGGACAAAAGACAGGGGAAGGGGTGGGGGGGGTGCACTCCAGACAGAAGCAATAGCAAAGGCCAAGGCCTGCGGGAACAGAAGAAGGGTGGGTGTGGCTAGAGTGGGCGCGCGCTGGGTACACTGTTCTATTGAGGGCAACGTGGCAGCTAGATGTGTGTTTTCAATGGATCCCTCCGGCTGCTATGGACTTAGGGGCGGGGCAACAGTGCAAGCTTCCAGGTGGGTCAGGGGAGCAGCGGTGGGCGTGCAACCGTGCCATACGAATGTTATGTGGGGGTAGAATCTAAGGAACTGCTGGGGGGTGGGCGTGCATGTGCTGAGGCCGCGGGAGGGGTCAGAATGACTTCTCGCTTGGGGGGTACCCGGCGGGGGCGCAGGGCTGTGCGCACAGCCGTGAACTCGCCCACTCCAGAGCAAACGTTGCAGAAGGTTAAGGGCGATTCCTGTCCACCTGGGGCCGACCTGGGGCTGCGGGTTATTGAAACTCGGAGCATTCCCTCGTGTGCCGCCACCTTGCCTCAATTTCAGATCAAGTCCCAGTCTCTCTCGCCAGAACTCCCACCCGCCAGAACGCAAACCAGGAGAGATTCTACTTACAAACTGACTCTTGCGGCCTCTCCGGAACCCCAGGAGCATCCTTGTGGCTGAGGGGTGGCCAGACTCGGGCTGCACGAACAAGTCGGAGTCAACAGAACTAGGGACCGCTCCCCGAAAGCCTTCACGTCCCGCGGGCCCAGCCCCGTCTCAGACGCCTTTTTCAGGCGGACGACTTTGCAACAACCACGTCTCCCATTGCCTCGGTTTTCTCCCTGGCCAATCGGAGACGAGGTTACTTCACACCCGTCGCTCTTGGCAACCAGCGCGTCCCATTCAAATACTTCTCTGGGAGGCCCGCGGCTCCTAGCTGCTCTTTTATTGGTCAGCACAGATGTCCATCTCTGACACCGCAGCCTATCCGACGCTGTGATCGGCGGAGGGCGGGAAGGTTGAACGACAGGAGGCGGAGCCGAAAGGAATCCGGAAGTGATGGGCCCCAGGTGGACCCAGGACAGAGCTGGAGGGTCGCGGGTCGGGCAGGCGGCTTAGACGAGGGGCGCGGCAGCCGGCGCTGGACCCTCCTCCGTCTTAGACATTGACAGATAATCCAGTCCTTTAGAGAACAGCACGGGGGACGGGCTCCTGCCGAAGAAGTCCCGACTGGGAGTGGAATGTGGGACCGTGTGCAGGAGAATCTGCTCCAGCACGTTCCTGCGTTTCCCTCCTTCGATCAGGCCACCGATGGAGAGGAGCAGCCCTGCCACGCACCTGCCGTTCGGTCACATTGTGGCTAGTGAGAAATGGCGGGGCTCCCAGCTGGCGCAGGAGATGCAAGGTCGGGGGGCTGCCCTCTGCGCGAGTCGCCTCCCAGTTTTATCTACTGTTGCCTTTTCATCCACTCAGGGAACTTATTTTCTTGTCTGTCTTTTAAGGGAAAATGAAACTTGTGTTTGAGGACGGCTTGACACCGGTAGATTTTTACTTGTCCAGCAGATCTTGTATTCTTTATATCACCGAAGCTGATTTGGTGGCAGGAAATGGCTACAGAAAGAGGCTTGTTCGGGTTAGAAATGTAAGTACAGAATTGGAGAAACTGAAATTAAAAACTTATTCTCATCCCCCCTCCCTTTAGAATAATTTATGTAAATCTATTGTCGTTCCAAGCACTCTTGGCGTGATTGCTTTGGTATTTTGTTACAAAAGGTTTTTTTTTTTCCTTTTTAAGTCTACTACTCTTCAAGGGATTGTAGTAGTTGAAAAAACTCAAATGAGTGAACAGTACTTCCCAGCCATACAGAAGTTTACTGTGTTGGACCTAGGGATGGTCTTGCTTCCAGTGGCCAGCCAGAGAGAGGCATCCTGCCTCATTCTGCAGCTAGTAAGTACTGATTTCACTTTTCCACAGTAGCCCGGACCTTAGTGGATCCTTTACTCTGGCAGCTGCCCTTGCTAATTGCAATCTATTTGCTCAATCTGTATTCCCAGTGTTGGTTCATAAAATCTTTTGTAGGAATTTCAGTTCAGAAATAGCTTTTCTAGACCCCCAGATACATTCTAGGCAACCGTATAAGATGAACGTGTTAGACACCCGGGTGTAAAGACCCCATTATTCATTATTCTGCACTTAACCTGGTAATGTCAACTAGCAGCTACTTTGCCTCATCCCCATGTATCTATTATTCAGCATCAATATTGTGTGCAAGTTTGTTTTTTAAACCCGATTCACTGTTGTCCTCACTGATTATTCAGCTTGGTTATGCATTATATTTCCTGGGAAACTGAAAAATCAGGATATGAGCCTTACTGCAGACCATTTAAAAATCAAAACAGGCACATGGATCTGAGCGTTTTGTGTTGGTTTTAAATCTCCCTGTAACAAAGAATCAACTATTGAGACCCAACTTTCCCAACTATTCATCCTCCCTTAACATAATATTTTCCTCCTGTAGCCACAACAGAAAGTTAGGGTTTTCCTTTGATGGGCAGCTTCCTCCCTTCCCTAAGTCAGGTTGATCCAGTTTAGGGATAGCCAGTATTTTATACCACACACCTGAAATATTTCTTTAATGGACCATAGGAACACTTTTGAGTTCCTCACAGTGTTTTCATTGGTTTTATCCTAAGCATTCTGAAGACGTTTTTATAATCATTACTTTTAATCCCTTGTCCCTCATCTTTCAATAATTTTTCTGCTATCTGAAAAATACATACATTTTATATATGAAATATTTGTAGTTAGTAGTAAGTCAAGCTGAACCAAGTGGCAAAAACAAAAATTTCCACAAAATGTTTTTTTAACTGCCGGCCTCTAGAGGGCGCTCACGTGCTTTTTCTTTCATTTTGGTTTAGGTTCAAGAGCAAACCAAAGAGCCCAGTAAAAACCCTTTTCTCACCAAGAAAAGGGCTCAGGTTTCTGAATCCTGCCTTCTTAGAACCGTGCAGCAGATCCCAGGGGTTGGAAAAACGAAAGCGCCCCTTCTGCTTCAGAAGTTTCCAAGTCTCCAGCAACTCAGTAATGCTTCCATCCAACAACTGGAGCCAGTGGTGGGACCCCAAGCAGCACTCCAAATTCACTCCTTCTTCACTCAGTCCAGCTGACTCTTCTCACAGCCTTGGCTTGGCAGCAGGCAGACCACCAGCGACAGGACCCTGTTTTCTTTTCGTATGTAAACGCCAAGGAAAAAGGATTTCCTCTCCCAGCAACTAGTTTAGAATCCTGGTTGGAGCCTGCCTGTTTTCCAGCCCTACTGTCTGGATCCAGGCATTTCTGCTAGTGAGCCCCTGTGGGCACTGCCTGGTCCCAAAGAGGGCGGGTAGGGATCTTCCCAGGAGTCCATTTAATTAGAGTCGCTCAGACTCAAAAACCAGCTTGGGCAGATTGTTATGTGACCTTGATTGCATGTATCATGAAAAGGCTTATCAAGTTTCAGGTGATGGATGTGACTGTCTGAAGGGAACAATGAAGAACTGTGGACCCTTCCTGTTCCTGTGGCAGGGTGCTGTTCTCCAGGTCTGTGCTTTGAAGACCACTGCCAGTGTAAACAAACAGCGGGGTTGCCTTTTCTCTTCCTTCCTCCCTCCCTCCCTCCCTGGTAGCTGCACGGTTTGTTTAAAACACCAGGCACGTCTTCTGAACACAGAAAGTCGGGTCTGGAGTTCCCCTTTAAAGATAAAAAGCCAGTGTGTGTGAGGGAGGAAAGGAATGTTTGTAAATGTACAGCCCAGCAACGGGAAGATCTACAAGGGGCAGCCGCCGGCAGAGAAGAGAGCCAGGGGCCGGGGGCTGAGCTGCAGCTGATGGTGCAAAAAAGTAAATACAATTAAAGAGAAGTGCTCAAAAATACTAAGATGACGGGAAAGCTCTTTTAATCCTATTTTGTGTGATGTTTCTAAATTTTCCAAATCAAACCCAATCGTATTAGGGTAAACCACCTAACAGGGGAGAGAATTGAAAGTCAAAACCATTAAGTCAGGTAAAAAGAAAGTTTATTTAAATACAAAAATGGACCTAAGAATAGTGAATGTACTTTTCCTCTTGGCATTGCACAACAGAAAATAGTTAAGTTTTTGTTAGCTCTCAATTAATCTCAATGCTGCTGCTTCCAGCGATATAACGTGTCCTCTGTCAACAGTGAATCTTAGCAGAATCACAGTATCATCCAACGTATAGCAAGAGAAATTAATTAAGAATGTTATTTTGCAAAGTCAATTTTAAAACTTGAATCACTTAACATCTATCTTTAACCTTATAAAATGTAAAGCTAGTTTTTAACCCATTTTAAAGACTTAAAATATATAATCATGTACTTCTGACTTTAAACAAAAATGAATGTTTTGAGTATCAAACAGTATATTATCTACCTTGTAGATAGCATCTTCATCTAAAACTGCCAGTGTTAGCAACTTTTAAATGACATGAAACTTAAAGAAAAGCTGCTCCTAATTTTTTTTTTAACCTAGTAAGTCGTGAGAGGTTTGGCACTCGACTTTATCTGGAAACAGCATTCCTATTCTGTAAAAATACTAAAGTCCTGTCATTTTAGGTTAACGAAATTCCCCCCCAAAAGCAGCTTTGATAACTCTAATCACAGGTTATCATAGTCCCCCAACTTGCCTTAGTTTGGGGTCCTCTGAATTCTGGGATAAGGAATGATCTAATATCCCAACAGGGAATTATTTTAAGTAACCCCAATTTAACTGAGAATAACTGAAAGTCAATTTTAGCCATCAAAAATAGGCATATTGTCAACACTATCTACTTACAATACTTTATATAATAAATAATTTGCAGCAACATGGTGACACTCCTTGAATAAGTTCCTTTCCCATAAATGACTATAATTGTGTTGTTTGCATTCTTAAAAGACATCAACTGTCTACACCACGAGAAAGCAGGACTTGAGAATATTTCGAAATTTTCCCATTATGGCACAAATACAAAGGCCTGTCATCACTGAAGCTGTGGTCCCGTCAGTACAGAGAACTGTCGTTGTTGAGGAGGCTGAAAGGAGCAGGGAGCTTCTTCTTGACCTGAGGCCTCACGACCCCGACTGCCGGGAGGCACAGGGTGCTGGCGGACTTCTGTCTGTTCTTATTACTGGTGCCCCAGCTCAAAAAAGAAAGCTTTTTTGAGATTTTCTTGTTTTTATCAGTTTTGTCATCGTCGTTCTCCATGGCCAAGCAGATCATGGAGTAGGTTTTCTGCATTCCCACAGAGTAGGTGGCACATTTACTATGCTGCAAAAAGGAAGAGAAAAGAATGTTAGCAACCTTCGAGATACCTGAAAGCGAGCAGCCTGGAGCCCGCTGCCTATACTTCCAGCATCCTCTTCATTACAGTTAGGGTGGTAGAACCTTCACACACAAGGGACTAATCCTTAGCTAGAACTTCATTCTTAAAAACAAGGAAGAGCTTTTTTAAATTCATTTTTCTATATTTTACATCATTGTCTCTTTTTTCTTCCGTGTTTGCTTTCTCAGGTGCGGTGCCTGTAAAGTTCCCATGAACCGCTGCCATGGTGCCTTGCACGCTTTCCTCCCCTCTGTTGCTCACTCTTCTCCCTCCCCTGCAGGGTCTCTGATTTATAAAAGCCAGGATGATCTTTAAGGAACATAATATAGCCCCTAGGTAAATGCAAGCTGAGACCACTACTCACGTTTAAAGTTACTGGGATTGAGAGGAGTGATGCTCGCTCACACTCAGCAATATGAACGTGGCTGCAGGGAACAGTGGGCAGCCCCCCCCCTCCCGCTTTAGCTTCCAGGCCCTTCCCTGGGAAACCTCTACTTCTGTTACACACTGCTAGCGGTAATGCATATAGACAGGACTGGCCTGTGTGTAGGTGAAGGTCATCGTTTGTCTTTCCCTTTCAAAAGGAATACACCACACACAGTAGCCTGCGCTCTAATTTCTTTGTGTGCTGTGTCTTCAATTTCAGTTCACGCTATTAATACACATCAGCCTTAACTTTTTATTCTTGGAAAAACAAACAACTGACCAAAAGCAATTCTGACAAAAGAGAAGGAGTTATGCCCCAGACTTCAAGTTTCACTACAAAGCAACAGTGACCCAAATAACGTGGCATCAGAATCAGAATACACCGATTAAAGGAACTGAGTTGAGAGCTGAGAAATAAAGCCACACTTAACGGACAGTAGCTTATGGCAAAGGCGCTAGGAGCATGGTGGAGAAAAGGAAAGGCCCATCAGACGGTGCTGGGGACGCTGGACAGCAGACAAAACTTGACCTCCGTCTCACACCGCACACAAAGATTAATTCAAACAGAACCAGAGACTTGAGTCTGAAGCCACAAAACACATAGAAATCAGAACACTCCACCACACCAGCTCCAGTGATGTCTTTGTAGACTCAAGTACAGCAGCAAGGAAACAGCAAAAATTAGCAAATGGGACTGCATGGGGCAAAAAGTCATAAACCGTAAACGATCAAACAAAAAGACACTGTATGGCCTGGGGAAATACCTGCACATCGCCTCCTACAGCCAATGCAGGGCTACTGGCCGAGGCCTGCAAAGAACTCACAACTCAAAGGGAGAAGTCGCCCAATCAAAAACGGCCAGAAGAACTAAACAGATACTTCCACAAAGAAAGCGGAAGTCCTGGCCAATGGGCGCGTGAAAGAACGCTCACCGTCACTTATCAGGGGGACGCAAGTCAACGCCAGTGCGCTACCACCTCACCCCGTCACCTCCTCCCTCTGCCGCCCTTCACCCCCAGAGTGGCCCACATCAGACCAGAAAGAGCTGATGAGGGTGTGGAGAAAAGGCCCTGGGAAGCTATCCAACCTTTGTGGAAGTGAACGAAGTTTCTCAGAACACTCAAAATACGTCTACCCTGTGACAGCACCCCATGCCTAGGTATCCACCTGAAGAACAGAAAAGCACTAAAAAGGAGACTGGCGCTCCCATGATCACCACAGCGCTATTTTCTGTTTGCTAAGTTACACGAACGACCTATGACGCCAGTGGCCAAAGACAATGTGGTTTGTGCACAGGGACAGTGCTTAGCTTTCAACACAAGGAATCCTGCATTTACGAGGACGAACTGGCAGCGGTTATGCCACATGAAGGAAGTCAGGGCACGCACACACCAACTGTGTCACTCTTCTACGGAAGAAAAAGAAACAAATCAAATGAACAGACAAAAGAAAATCCTTAAAATGACTGCAGAACTGGGGTTGCCAGAACAAGAGGGTGGGGACGGAGCCCCGTGGACCGTGGTGGGTGACGAGTGTGCTGGGGTGGGTGTGAGAGGTGGCAGCCCTTCCCCTGAAACATGCACTGTTGTAAACTAACACCACCGCAGTAAAAACAATTTAGTAAAATAAAATGCTGTAAAAAAATTAAAATTTAAAGCTGTGGTTATACATACATAGCTATAAAAGTTTCCACATGAACCGTTTTTAAGTACATAGCTTAATACTGAACCTTCAGCCATCAACACCACCCAACTCTGTAACTTTCTCATCTTCCCCAAAAGCATCACTGTCCCCATTATATTAACTTCTAAGGGATTGTGTAGCGCTCAAAGAAGAAACTTGTCTTCTAGGTGTCTCGATTAGCACCTACTTCTGACATCCGTCTCATGCTGAGATTGCTTAGTTCCCCATGTTTCTTGAGTATCCACTGTGGGCCAGGCGCAGCAAGCAGGCTGTTTATACAAGTGCCACATGGTATCTGTGACGTGCATAGGCGCACGGCTCACAGCATGAGTCTTCAGCGGGACGGGCATGCTGCTGCAGCTCATCTTTATGGAACAGCCCTGGAGTCTGGTGCTGAAGATGCCTCTCCCTTTCCTATAAATCCACCCATTAATCCTACCAAGCACGAGCCACACCTGCCATCCTCAGAGGAAACACCAGAACCATCCGAGGTAGAGCTGAGGCCTGCACACACCTTCGAATCTTAACCTGTTAACTGTGGAGTTACGCGCAGTCCTTCTGCCCCAGCCCCTCCCGGCAACCTCGGGGTCCCCTACACCTTTAAATGTCTCTGCTGATGGTGCTCAAGTATTTATTTCTAGCTCTGACTTATCCCTTGAGCTGAAGACCTGAATCCCCAGCTGCCGGCCTGACATCTGGGGGACTGAATGGCATGTGAGGTGTTCACGGACTCTGCCTTCACGGACCCTGGGTCCCCACCGCTAGGAAAAACCGAGAGTTCAAACCAAAACAGCCGCCCCCCCCACCCCCACCCCAGTGCCCTTTGAGTATTTTTTCAGACCGTGATTATATATTCTTTACTTCTATAATAACAACAATTAATTTAATCCCCAAATAAATCAACTGGAGTTAAAACACTAAGGCTTGTCCAGGATCTCTGGGACTCGAGGTGCGCACATCCCAGCGACAGTGAGCTGAGGCGTGTGTGACGTGACAAGTGGGCCCAGAGGCAGAGGCCTGGCGGAGGCACTCAGCCAGCGCCACTCCGCCCCTTGCTCCTGCAGGGCACTGGCACTCACCATGGAGGAGGTGGGGTCCAGGAGGCTCACAACCTTCATCTCAATGTTGTCCTCCCCGAAGTTCTTCAGCAGTTTCATCACCTCGCTCACTGTCAGCCACTTACAGTCCACGCTTTGGATGGCGACAATGTAATCCCCCTCCTTGGCTCCTGCCAGCTACACGGGGGCATTTAAATAAAGGTCGGCATTCTGCTCATCCAAATCCCGGGTCGGTACCCAGGTTCATTTCCAAAGTGGGTTTTTTTTAAAGATTTATTCTATCTATGGATACAAGAACTGCGGTGTAGGCCAGAGATGGTGTGTATGTGTGTGTGTGTGTGTGTGTGTGAGAGAGAGAGAGAGAGAGAGAGAGAGAGGATTCCCCAGAGACAGAGTGGGGAGCAGAACAGGCGAATCTACTGAAATACACTGCTGAGGGGAGCAGCAGTGAGACAGAGAGGTCTGTTGCGCCCTGTGAGTCACTCCCTGGCTGGGAATCAAGCTGGCTGCGGCCAGCTTCGTAGTGCGGAGACTTTACCTCCTGTGCCACCAGGGAGGCCCCAAAGTGGGTATTTGCAAACATTTGTGTTAGTTCTTTGCTCTCTGGGCATGAGGCATCCAGAAGAGGCCGTCACGTAAGGCCAGGATGTACTCCGTGGCCAGCTTTCTCTGTATTTTACGTCTGGGAAGATGCCTGTGAGTTTTGCCCCCACTGGAGCAGTATTTGTGCTTACGGAAGCCGAGCAGTAGGGATCCAGACAGTGGACTTGAACTGGGGAGTTGCCTCTCAAGGTGAACCCCAAGTCCCCTTCCTCTGCAGAGAAGTGAATGCTTCGGGGAGGCGTCCACCTTTTGTTGGCCGAAAACACAGACAAGGGGCCCTGCGGGACAGAGCAGAGCTAGGTGAGGACCTGCGGGCTGAGTGAGCTCTGCGAGAGCTAAAGGAAACGCTGCCTTGGCCCGGAGCTCTCACGGGCTTCGGACGCGAATGTCGGCTTCCGGGACAACGCTCGCTACAGGCTCATTCCCGAACGTTAACTGCCGTTTTCTCTAAAATACCCAATATGTAAGTCATGATGCATTTTGCTTGAAAAACAGAAAAAAAAAATACAACAGGACTTTGCTGGCAACTCAGCATTTTAAGTAAAACGATCTGTGGAAATTATCTTCGATAAGCTCTCTAGTGAGAAAGCCTAAAGGACCTAAGACCAGTCTACATCCTCGCAACGCGGAGAGCGCCCCTGGCCGCGGTGCAGACCTGGCCTTACCAGCTTCTGGAAGAAGTCCGTCACTGCCACCTTGGAGAGCTGTGGCGGGATAACTTCAACTTCTTGCTCGGTTTTAGCTAGAAAAGATTGAAAGGGAAACACAGGTGCTTCTGTAATTGGAAGTATCGGCGAGAAAGTCAGGTTTAAATTTTCTCTCTGAAGAGAAGAGAAAGCAAACCTTTCCCCAGTCTCTTGGCTTAGACAGCAGCACAGAGGTGGGCTGACCCCACACAGGCCCCAACCCCCTGTGACTGGAAGGTTCCACTTGGGACCTACGGTGTGGCACTCCCTGCCCCGGGCCTGGGCAGAGAGGGACAGCTGGACTCTCCCCGTGCCCGCAGGAGCTCCCTGATAGTCCAGAGACCTCCCTGGCACTCTCGAGACCTGCCTGAGACGTGACCTGCGCTTCAGACGTGGCTGTTACTGAGGGTCCAGTCCCGGGACAGGGGCGCACCCTGCTGCTGTCATTACGTGAGAAGGGTGGGCTCACAGTGAAATGTGTTTGCCACATGTGTTTGTCCACCAGCATGTCCACAGAGGGGCACGCCCGCACTTCCCGTGAGGCTGGCCCGGTTCTCACAAAGGACCCCAAGCAGGCTAAGGACACACCAATGGTATACAGAGGAAATCCGGGCGAGAAGACGGGCAGCACACCCCTGTTTGCAGGGTGACCTCGCGGCTTCCTGCAGACCGCCCCAAAGCGTTAGGTGTGCACGGGCTGCTTGCTGCCTGTCAGGGCCCAGCCTGGGGCACCTCGCCAGGAGCCGTGTGTCTCCTCCACGCGTGAGGTTATTAGGTTTCCAGCTCCTGGCCACAGACCACAGCCCTGGAGAGGGGGCTGAGGAGGAGCCAAAGCTCGTAAGAAGAAGCCCAAGGCCATTCTCGTGTTCGGCTACTGCTCTGTCACCTGGAGCAAGAGCTGTGGCCTCCCTAAACCGTCACTGTAGGGGGTGATGCCAGTAACTGCTCACAATGGGAGGGAGAGTTGAGTCCGGCCCTCCGCACACGCGTGCACACACACACACACACACACCATTTACTCTCACGCCCGCGAGGCCCAGGCGCTTGGTGGCGCCAGCTGCAGTGCTTCCGACAAGCCCCGTACCCTGGCTTGAGCAGGGCTCTGTCTCGATGGCGCTGGTCTCAACAAACCGGGTGGGACCCAGAGACCAGGACCAGAAGGGGTTGGAGGAGGTATGGCAGAGGGTCACCCCTCGACTGGATCACATGCGCCCATCTTCCTAACTCCTAGAAAAATAAGTTCCTCCAGAAAAGTCCCCTCTCAGGGAGGCAGCTCCCTGCCACACGCCCGAGGCACCTGACAGCCACCGTGTAGGACAGTGATAACCACCAGGGCTGCCCGTATTCCTGAACCCAGGAGAGCGCAGCACCCCGGAGTGCTCAGAAGCACTGGCAGTGCAGTGTGCCACCTCCAGGAGCCCGAGCAGGGCTGCGGGGCGGGGCAGCGGGAGCAGCAAGAGGACAGAGGCTTTGCAAGACCTGAAAGTTCCGGAGCCCAAGCAGCAAGGTGACTCTGGTGGTCAGACTGAATGTTGAACAATTTCTACTGCCAAATTAGGCATTTCTCTACATCATCATGTGTTGGTTACTTAATTTCATAGTAGGGATAAATACTGTCCTAAAGCAAAAAGGAAGAAAATCACACGCTGATGAAAGATATAGAGGCTGGGGCCCTCCCTGGTGGCGCAGCGGGTTAAAGCGCAGCACTGCGGGAGGGCCACAGCCCCGCCCCGGAGCTGACCCACAGGGCGCGGCAGACCTCTCCTGACCCGCCCGCTGCTGCCCTCAGCGGTGCACTTAGTCGGCCTGTTCTGCTCCCCGCTCTGTCTCGGGTGAATCCTGTCACTTCCCGCACCTCTGGCCTGTACCCCAGTTCTGTATGCAGAAATAGATAAGTCCTTAAAAAAAATGGAGGGGTTGGGGGCACAGGGAAGGGAGAGCAGGTCTAGGAGGGGAGTAGGGTGCGTCTGGCCGCAGACCACGGCGTCAAAGGGGCAGAGCCAGAGCAGGCCCTCGGCACAGCCGGCGTGCGGGGTGTGCTCGCAGTGCCAGTGTGAAGCCCAAAGGTCCTACCAGGGGCCTCCTGAAGGGCGGTGATGTCTGGAACCCTAAAAGCGCTGAGGGACTTGGGCCTCCTGGTGGCCCCTCCCTAGGGGTTAAGTGTCAGCGATACCACCTGAGTTCAAACCGGGCCAGGGAGTGACCCGCAGGGCGCAGCAGACCTCTCCTGTCTCCCTCTGCTCCCCAGTAGCTCTGCCTGTTCTGCTCCCCACTGTCTCTGGTGAGTCTTCTCACCCCACCTCTGGCCTGTACCCCCAGTTCTTTTATGCATAAATAAATCTTTATAAAAGGGGCCTGACCTTTGCCCTAGTATGCAAACAGAAAGCCTCCCCCAAGGTTTTTAAAAATTTTGAGAAAACGTTAAAACAAAGAAAATGCTCTCCTGTTTACAGTTTTTCCCTGAGACTTAGGGGGGAAACAATCAAAAGAAAAAAAGGGGGCTTGAGAGACTAAGGAGTCTAGAGGCAGCACACCGGGGCGAGCAGACCCTCAGGAAAGTTGGGGGCACAGGTGGGATCAGGCAAGGACGGTCAGCGAGATGGTGAGGGGGCAGGATCCGAGGCGTCGGAGCCT